AATATGAAACAGAGCACCAGGCACAAAGCCTGCAATTAGCAATGCACAGATAATGTTGATGTATGCAAGTCTGACCTCTTATTTCCAGGAAGGTGTCATTCTTTCCAAGTCCCATGGCCTCAACTGAGGTGTGATGGCATGTCTTAGCCCTGGACTCTCACAGGCTCCAGCTTGAGCCTCGAGCCTCCATTCCAGCCATCAACACAGAGGCTATTCTCACCCTGTGTCACTGCTGTGCTATTAATGAGACCACCAGTGACAGAATCTATAACATCCTTTTAGCCAACTAAGGGAACACCTGTGTCAATATGAAGGAGAGGTCAGGGACAGGTCATGGCAAGAGCTTCGTTTCTCAGAAGACAGCGGCGTAGCAGTCTCTTGCAAAAAATGACTGGGAACATGGCCCAGTGTGAAGGCCCTGGATTCAGTCCCCAGTACTGCAAGAGATAGAGACAGAGTGTGTGAGTGGAGTGGGGAGACACGTGTGGAAGACCAGCAGGGATGGGTAGAGGGTAAAGGGAGGTGAGGAGACAGGAGAGCACCTGTCAGGGAGGACAAGGAAGAGGGGGAGCAGCATTAGTGCCAGGTGCAAGGGTCAGCTGAGAACAAGGCCTGGCACCAGTGCCCAGTGAGGCCCAGTCCCCAGGGGCTCCGTGGGGCAGCAGCCAGACTGAGGCAAGGATGACAGTGGGGGTGCGGGTGGTGGTGAGGGCAGCTCCTGGGAGCACAGCTGACAGAAGATGCAGCAAGGCCTTCAGCAAGGTGTGGTGCTGTCGTTCAAGAGGAGGATGACTTCGGCATTTTGTAAGTGAGCATTTTAATTGATCTTAACAACTGGCTAGCAGAAGCCAATGCATGGAATTTGAAAGGACAGCACAGAAGGTGGGTGAAGGGCAAGGAGAATACAGCAAGGGAGCCGGTTGCAAAAGCACACCTCACAAAATGCTGGCAACAAGGAGCTGCTACTTTTCACAAGCCAATTTACTGCCACGTGCGGTTGTGCAAGCCTATAATCCTAGCACTCGGGAAGCTGAAGCAAGAGGACTGCTGCAAGTTCAAAACCAGCCTGCGCTACACAGTGAGCTCAGGGTTGCTTTGAACTCCATGATGAAATGCTGTCTCAAAGAGACCAAACCAACTTAGCTTTTTACGGATTAGGAAACTGAGGTACATGGAGGTAAGATCACAACCACACAGGGAGCAAATAACAGCCTTAATTAAAATTCAGTCAATCTAATGACCGACTCCGAGTTCTCATCACACTACAATGCTTTTTTCCCTAAAAAATATATACCCGTTGCATAGTTATTTCTATAAATAAATGCACATGCACACATATATTTACGTGTACAAAGCACATTAATATTCATGGGGACAGACTAGACGCCAGAATATGAACTGTGGTTAACTGTGGAAAGTTGAATTTTAGCTGGTTTTTATTTTCTTTGTGCTTTTCCATATTTCCTAGTTTTCTACAAAAGGTAAATTGTGTTATAAGAAAAATATTTTTAAAACAAGCCTGGGGAAGAGACTGCCAGCGCCCCACTGCTCCAGTCTTCACTGAGTGAAGGTTGCGGGCCCGCAGGGTTTTCCTCAGGTATTTTCCCTGGGAATGAAGCTCCCCTGTTCTAGCAAACCCCTGGGACCACAACACAGGGCTCTGCCTCCCCAGGTAGCAGAATCCGTCAGGTTTTCCACGGTTTCCTCGAGGAGAGACCAGCGCCAGCCCTCTGGGCACATTTGTGTGTCCTCTGCCCTCTGCAGAGCCCAGTCCGGACCAAAGCTCCCCTGCTGTCCGCAGCCAGGTGGGACCGGCTCGTGACTGCCTGTCTGGTTCTGTTCCAGAATGTTCCCCAGCTTGGGCCAGCTCAGGAGCAGAAGGAGGCACACAGACAGGGGACCGCTGGAAGGGGACCCCGACCAGGGGAGGCAGACCAAGTTCCGGTACAGAGAGAGCAGGAGGCGAGGCAGAGGCAGCTGTGGAGAGGGGTACACAGGACACAGTGGGCCTGGTGAGGCCCCTCCCTCCTGCCCCACTCCAAGCTGGCCTCGAGTAGCTTGCCAGGGCGTCAGCCCCAGAGTGAGGCTCCTCTCTGGCTGGAGAGTGCTTGGTGCATCTCTCACCTCATGGGGTCCCGGCTTTTGCTCTCCACCAGCCGCACGTTCATCAATGCCTCACTCAGCAAACAGTAACCTGTATCTGTCTGTCCTGGGGCTGAAGCTGGCATTGGAATGCAAGGCGGGGACACAAGGAGCCCTCCAGGACATGGGGGTGCCTGTGACCCAGGCCTGGAATGTATGCATCAGTGCTACTACACTCCATGGGGTGGGGGCCACACACCCAGAAACTTAGGCGGTGTGTGAAATGTCAGCTAGGACTGCAGCAATCTGTGAATGACACTGCGTACATCCCCAGACTTCGTGACATCTGCAGATGCAGGGGTAGTGACAGAGCAGAGGCAGAAAGAGACAGAGCTTGGGAGTCCCAGGGAATTTAAGATGTCAGTAACAGCAACTGACACCAGACATGCTGAGGGTTTTTGTGTTCCTTAATAAGCCTGTGAACTAAAGCTAGAGGTTCTGCCTGACCCAGCTCGTCCCCTTCCAGGCATCTTCCTGAAAGAGTTAAAGACGCTGCTGGGTTGGTAATGCAAGCCTGTAATCCCAGCACTCAGGAGGCTGAGGCAGGAGGATCGCTGTGAGTTTGAGACCAGCCTGGGCTGCATAGTGAAACCCTGTCTCAAAACAACAACAACAAAAGAGAGAGAGAGAGAGAGAGAGAGAGAGAGAGAGAGAGAGAGAGAGAGAATCTACCACAGAGATACATGCGCACTCAGTGAAACATGTGCCTAATTTATACTAGCTAAATACTGGAAACAGCCTGTCTCAGTTACTTTTCTCATTGCTGAGACAAAATACCCAGCACCCCAAATTAAAGGAGGAGAGGTTTATTTAGCTCACAGTTGGTGGAGGTTTCAGTCCGTACTTGGCTGTCTCCAAGGCAGAGTGGCACATGGCAGAGGGCAACAGTTCATGGCAGTGGAAAACAGCAGAAGCAGCAAGAGCAAAAGGGAGAGGGAGCAGCAAGCAGCCTCTTTCCCTCCCTTACACTGTATGCAGGCTCCCCACTCCAGGGCGGGTCTAGTACTCACATGCATAATATCAGCATTGGACCTTGGATCAGTCTCAAACTCTAGAAGCGCCCCCATGACTGCATGAGGCTTTGGGGGACATCCAGACACAAACCACAACACAGCCCATATGCACAACAACAGATGAATGGATAAAGAAAATATGGTCTTTACATATAATGGAGTACTACTCTGCCATAAAGGATAAACTTGAGACATTTGTAGGAAAATGGATGCATCATGAGAACATAATCTTAAATGACATAAGTGGGACACGCAAGTTTAAACATCACATGCTTTCTCTTGTGTCAGTATAAATAAGGAACAAAGTAGAGGTTAGACATCAGGAAGTAGGAAGAATTCATTCAAATGGGAGGGGGAACGAGAGATGGGGGAGGGGAGAGGGAAGGAAGGGAAAAGGGGCTTAAAGAAAAAGAATTGAAGGAAAATGGAAAAACAGAGCTTTCGTAAGTGGGGAAGGGCTGGAGGGAGGGAAAGAAAGGGGTGAAGGGTGAAGATGTGCGATGTACAAGCGTGACTCCGTGATGAATGCGATTGTTAAGTCGCAAACATGTACTAACAAAAAACAAACTAAAATGGAAAATCAGCTGGTGGACCCGCAGCCGACTCAAGTAGGGGGAGTGTTTCTGTCAGGCCCCCTTTTTGCAGAGAGATAGAGGGGCCCGGCTTGGTCTGGGCATGGGCTCTGGTGGATCTGAGGCCGGGCGCGTGGGATGCCGTGGGAGCAGGGCGGCATCTCGGCTGCTGTCAGAAAGGCCGGCCTCTCCCTGTGGCCGTCATGCTGCCATGGCGACAGCCGTTAAAAATAGTCCCGCCACGGGTGGAGAAGTCCACCCCTGACCTGGCCAGCAAGGCGGGCGGCTGGGCCTGAGTGCCTTGCTCGGTGCTTAGGCCAGGGCGCCGGTGGCCCTGGGGCAGCCGCAGAGCCTGGCAGCCACTGAGCGCGCCTTGAAGGAACTTTGCCATCACTCGTCCGCTCAGAGTTCTACCTTACTCTTTCTGACTCGAGCCCTGGTGCATTTTGTTGACCAGACTCATGTGCAGCGGGGCTGAGCTGGGCCTGGAGCAGCTCTGTGGGTTTTCCCCAGTCAGAACCTCAGAGAGGGAGGTGCCTCGGGTCACAGAGCATTCCTTCCCCGAGTCCACGGCTGTGATCTTGTTACCGTCTGGACACAGCGACTGACCTCAACTGCGCATGCTCACATCAGGGTCTGACTGCGGACCGCTGCTCAGGAAGGCACGCCTGCATCAGCATGCACGCTCCTGTAGGAACAGCCGGCCTACTTGTTGGCTCCTTCAGATGTTTCCAGAATCTGGGGAGAGAGGGCACCAGGCAAAATGTCTCCCTGCCCGGTCACCAGGACAGGTTATTTGCATAATGAGCTGCCGCTGCATTAGCACCCGACTCTTCACACTCAGTGAAGTCACTGCGTATTATTAGTGTCCTTTTCTCTAGAACTGGGTCACGCAAGAAAGGGCAGGATTTCCGGACGGTTCCCAAGGACTAGATCCTTTGCACATGTTGAAGACACTGGCAACAGGCACTCAGCCCTAAGTTCTACCTCAAGGAAAAGAAAAGCAACTTCCCCCACCCTTGGGCTGGACCCGCCACCATTTTCCTCTTATATTCTCTGTTAGTAACTCACCCATTTCAACGGCTTGCGCTTGGGCTTGGAAGGTGGAGGACACCCAAATATTTATGGCCAGCTCATGGTTCTCCTCTAAGTTTCACTTATGTCTCTGTGCTTTATGGGACACTTGTGTCCTCTTGGGATCCCAAGACTCAAGCCACACACCCCAAATCAAATGCTGCAGTTTCCTCCTGGAGTCTCTGCCTTGGTGATTGCCATGGCCACATATCACCTGCAGGACCACACAGCCCCCAGAATGGCCTCCGCCCGGGATCTGGGCCTCCACACCATTTTCCCAGACCACATCGGTGTGCACTTCTGGTCCAGCGCCAGTGTTCCTCTTTGAGTCACCTTCTTTGACTCCCTGTAGCTGTAGACCTAAGAGACCTCTTAGCCTGGTCCCTGGGGCCCTGTGACCACAGCTCGCTCTATTCCTGTCTCCATGCCCTTCATGTGCAAGGCTACAGTGCCTGCACCTTTGGAGAGTCTTGCTGTTTCTGGACCCCAGATGTATCCTGCTCCCCCATCTCTGGTCTCTGTGCCCTGCCCCCAGCCAAAGCCTCTCCAAGGTATGAGTATTCAGCATGTTCACACTCTAAAGAAATCCCCATCCAGCCTTTCTGATGGCAGCATATTTTAACTCTTGGCAACAAACCTACTAATGCTTTTACCATGAAAACATCACAACACAGTACAACCGTGCTGGTCAGAAAGCAACTGAAAAGTTTGTTATTTACACAATAACTCATGGTATAACCAACAGGGTGAAATGGATCTTTACAAGTTAGATTTTTTTTTTTCTTTAAGAGACAACTGGTTCTCTAAACTTCCTCTTGCCCAGGGTACAAACTTCTTCTCTCCTTGGCCCTGATGAGTGGACGGGATTGCAGATGCTGGCCCAGGAGGGCAAAGTCCAGTTCTTTTCCACGGGAAAGGACAGAGAAGACTCAGGAGGAATCATATACATGTGGGGCTATTGTCCCACTATATTCCTTCTCCTCAGAGCCATTCTTGAATAAAGCCTCTTCCTTTCCACCCAGCGGGCTGAGCAGCCAGTGACAGCTGCCCTTCCAGCCTCTGTAGAGTGTTCTAAGTAGAGTAACTGTCCATCCACATCTGTAAGGGTTGCAGGGATTCCCAAGAAGTGGGCCTTTGATGCTAAGATCAAGAAAATCCAGAGCAAACAGGACATGATGGTCACTCAAGCTCTGGAAATCAGCAGGCATTTGGGCAATGACCTTCTGCCGCTGTTCGTGTACTTCTGTGGCTTCCTCTGCCTGTACATAAAAGCCCTCATTGGAGGTATGTGATGAATAGGTGCAGCACCCACAGCCTGCTCCCTTTGCCCCCAGCCTGTGTAATTTCCACTCCCTGAATTTTCCAACTCAGCTCTCTGGGCTGTGCCTGTCCAGTGCTTGTCTGCATGCAACACCCCTTCCGGTGCTCCCTTGCACCCTCCTCTGTCCCCTTCCCAGCAGGTCACACTGTTCTGTGATTTTCTGCTCCTGTCTGTGATTCCTCCTCCAAGTATGGGCGCCTCGAAGGCCAGGCTGGCCTGGAGACACTCAAGGGGCCTTGAACAGATAAAGCCATGAGCACAGCCTGCCTTCAGGTCCCACCTGCCCAGCTGGAGGACGACAACTGGGGACACTGTCAGTACCAGGAGTAAAGAGTGGACAGTGGCCAGGGCTTAGACCCAGCTCCAGGAGCTCAGAAGCTCTGGAGGAGATCAGGCATCCAGAGAAGGAACAAAGGGCATGGCGGGCTGGGGCAAGCTGCAGAATGATGGGCACCATCTAATTCTCACAGTGCAAAGACCAGCAAGGACCTGGAAGGAGGAGGTAGATTTCTTGTCTCCAGAAACATGCAAGAAGAACCAGAAGTCACAGAGAGGCAGCTCGAAGGAGCAGGACACAAGAGCCAAGGTAAGAGGGTGCTGTCTCTGGGTGGAGAGTCCAGTGATGTGGCTCCAAGGTTTCTCTGCGGCTCTGCGGTGCAATCCAGAAAGGTTTGTGGTGTCCAGGACTCAGTGCTCGCCTGGACAATCCCGCAGAGGCAGGCTGGGCTGGGATCCAGACGCACCCGGCTCCCCAGGGACCCATCCAGCTCTGGAACACAGCATCTCAGGAGTATTAGCCAGCCAGAGGGGGCAGGAAACACCAAGGAATGTGAGTGTGTGCCTTGGGCCCCTGGTCACTTCTCCCCCACTGTGCCCCAGCCTGGTGATTCACAGGCATCCAAGTCAGAAGACAGAGCACTTAGGAGGAGCTAAGGGGCCAATCCCAGTTCTTATTTCCAGCCCCATCACCTATATCAGACCTTCCCCTGTGGCCCAGGAATCATGAGCAGGGGCAGGCTGGTAAGGGGGCAGCCTTCATAAGACGGGGAGCAGGGCTTCCTGCAACAGGAGACAGCTGGTCATGGTCCCATATGTGGTCCCTAGGGGGGAATTCCTGACTCTAGCCTGGACCCCCAGTTTACCCATCCCTTCTGCACATAGCAGAGAGTGGAGGGAGGTCCTGTTCCTGTTGGCACACAGTCTCCACCAGAGCCAGTCACTTTGTGTAATTCAACTGTTGGGTCCAAGCAGAGGAGCATACCCAACTCCTGCCTTCCTAGAGGCAGTGGTAACCAAAGGCTGAGACTCTATCCAGGAGGACAGGGAACATCAGAGTTCAACTTGTCAAAGGGTCCCCTCAGTCCCGTTGATGAGAAAGGCCTCACCCGAAGACACAGACCTGGCTTTGAGTCTTTGGACAACACCCAATTTGAGATACTGTCACCTCCAAGCTTCTGTTCCATCCACAGTACAAAGGGGATCATATGAAAGTGTCACAGGATGCCGTGGTGATTAGTGACACGCACACAGTGAGGGATCAATTAAGAGCAGGTTCTGCCCTGTGCTATGTCCTGTCCCTCCAAATAAACACCTCATCCCTTCCCCTGAGCTGTACTTCACCCAAGTTCTGTGACTAAATCTCCCCTGTGGACCTTGAGTGGATGAAGGCACCTAACCCTGGCTGGGAGGTCAGGGAAGCAGTACCATGTAGGACACTGCCCATGGCCCATAATTGTACAGGACTGAGGTTGCTGCTCTCCTGCTGTCTCCCACCAATTAGAAGGTGGTGGTGCAATTACTTATGAGATCCTCAGATCCATGGAAGACAGGCAGATGAAACCAAGCAGGACCTGCCTTAGTTTCATATGCTAAGTCTTCATCAAGATAACCAAGCATGTACTGTGTTTGTGCACATCCCAGAGACTGCAATCCAGTTCTGCCACCACTACTGGTCATGACCCAAGGAAGCCCTCCTGCTCTGGGGAGTGCCATCTCCTCTTCCACAGAACGGGATAACATTCCGCCTTGAAGGCAGGTTCTATGTATCCACGGGTATGAGCAGTTCTTTGCAATTGGAAGATGTGGTGATTGTGGAAACTGTCATCAGGGGTGTGTGCTGCTGTGGGAAGCTGCATGCACTGGGCCAGGTTCTCTTCCCTCCACAAGTTGCTGAAATCACAACTTTCAATTAATGCACAGCAATACGGCTTGGCCCAGTTTCCCAAGTTGGAATGCATCAGCTACAACTGATGAAAAATGTGAAATTCTTATCATCCAAGCAGAATGGATTTTATAAACCTCCTTTCCCTGGGCTTTAAGTTTTCTTCAGAACTAATGGGTAAATGTAGATATTGAGCAAATATAGATACACACTCACTTGCCCAACAAACATTGATGCTGAGCTCCTTTGCATCCTGGGTCACACGCAGCATTTTCCCAGCCTGTCTCACCTAATACTCACATGAATGGGATTAGGAATGAGTCAAGATAGTGACAAACCAGTTCCTACGGGCCCCAGAATCTTCAGCAATTGTTACCCAACCTCCCCGGCACCCAGGGGCTCATCTTCTTTGTTACCTAAATGGGACCATGGACTCTCTGGGCTGCCCTCATCCTCTCTGTCAGACTCCACCTCCCTGGGCTAGTGCCTCACCCACAGTGTGGCCCTAACTTCCACTTCTCTCCATCCCAGGCCAGTCTGGAACTGGCCTGGCCCCAGAGCTCTGTTGGACTGGGAATCTGAACTGCCTTGGCCTGGTGGGTGTTCACAAGGCAAAATGGGACAAGAAGTCTGACAGATGGGCTTTTCTGACTGCTCCCTGTTTGACTTTGAGAAGCTGCCTGGGTTTCCTGAAGCCTCAGTTTCCATATTTGAAAGGTGAGAGCAACAGCTGTCTCAGGGTGGTCACGAGAACTGAGTAAGATAAGCCATGCAGCCTTCCTGCAAACGGTAGTCGCTCCGCAAGTGCGGTCTCCTGCACCCAGCCTGAAATTCCAAAGAAGGGCAAATGACAAATTCTGTATGATGGTGCCTTTTCTCTATGATTTGCTATCTTTAAATATTTAACTTTCATTTTGGTGAGTAGCATAAGGCATGAGTGTAATTCTTTTTGCAAATTCAATCCTCAGCACTAAAACATGATTTATTAAATTTCCCTACCAATTTGCTTAGTGATGTTTGACTCACTATACGTTAGTCTTTCGTATAGTTTGATCAATTCTTGGTCTTCTGCAGTTTGATTTATATATGGTTTTCTCTTTACATCTTTATTACAATTCTTTTCAATAGGTTTTTACACCATGTAGGAGTGCTACATCTGCCCTAGGGCAGGGGGTGGTAGCCTGCTTACAATGTAAAGGAGAAAAAGAGGCTTGCTTTCCTCCTTTTTGCTTTTGCTGCTTTTTCTGTCTTTTGTGGCCTTAAACTGTTGCCCCTGTCCCATGCCACTCTGCCTTAGAGCCTACTGATTATGGAATGAAACCTCCACAGACTGTGAGCTAAATCCTCCCTCTCTCTCCTCCTATGAGAACTAATTCTTCTCCTTGGTTCCCTAGCTATACTAACTAGTCAAGTTTCAAGGGTTTGGAGCTTTAGATGAGGAATTGCTGGACCACACAGAGTATGTCAGGGCTGGCACTTCCAGGAACTTATGTCTAAATCCCATGATTCTTGAAATCCTTGGCACAGAGTTAACACACACACACACACACACACACACACACACACACACAGTCTACCTACCTATCCAACACTTCCCCACTGATAAAGACAACAGTGGAGAATGAGGGTTCCCTGCCAGACCTATATCCATCCACTGAATGTCTTGGGCATGGAAGTGGAAATTAGTCCAAGACAGGCAAACCCAAAGGGACCCCATAACTCTGGATTTCACACTGCTTTACCAGCTTCCCATTACACTGGCTTTAAAACAGCTGTCTAATGTAGTGGTTCTCAAAGTGGGGCTCTCTGGTCAACATCTCCACAGCATGTGGGAGCCTGCTAGAAAGACAAATTCCTAGGCTATACTCCAGGCATAATGAAACAGGTGGCTTGGTGTGCATTCAGGAAGCTGTGTTTTAGCAAGCTTCTATATGAAAATCAATGGGCTAAATGAGCATAGATTATGCAGAGTCTTCCTCTGCTTGTTTATGGGATTTCATCATACTGGAGCCTGGGTCACTAGGATTGCAGCAAATGGAGGGGCAGCAGGGATACAGCAAAGCTGGACTTGCTGTAATGGCCACACATAACCCAGCCTATCTGCAGGCCCCTCTCAGCCTCTACATGGACCACATAAACCTACAGTTTTAGTCACTCATTGCTGGGATAAAATAACCAACAGCCACAACCACAAGTTAAAGGATGAAAGGCTTATCTCAGCTCACAGTTTGTAGAGGTTTCAGTCCATAGTAAGCTCGCTCTAAGGCAGGTGGCATAGCAGAGGGGCCTGTCAGAGAAGAAGCAGTCCATGGCAGGGCAGCTAAGAAAAAAAGCAGCAGCAGCAGATTTCCTTCTCTCTTTCCCTTTATACTCCATCCAGGCTACAACCCTACTCACTGGTGCCACCCACACCCAGGGTGGGTCTCCTGTCTTCAATAAACCCATTTAACCACACCCAAAATTGTGTAATGGTGGATACATTGTGTCAACTTAAGAAGTTTTTAATTTTAACTAAGTGACTCCTAAGGGAGCCAGGGTTCTTACTTTGTAAACATCTTCATCCTGTGCAATGGGAAGGCAGGGAGATGGTGTGAGTGTGACAGCTGCCCTAGGGCAGTGGGTGTTAGCCTGCTTACAATATAAGGGAGAAAAGGAGGCTTTCTTCTCCCTCCCTTTTGCTCCTGTTGGTTTTGCTATCTTCTGCAGCCTTGAACTGTTGCCCCTGTGCCATGCCACACTGCCTTAAAGTCTACAGATTGTAGACTGAAACCTCCACAAACTGTGAGCAAAATAAACCTTTCC